TTTAATGAAAAATACCTGGATCGTTTTGTCCAGACTGATTAAAAACACATACAGAAGTCTAAACTCAGATCAAAGCATGCCATGACAGAGCCATAAGCTCACCACATAACTAGATCACCTAGTTGTTCTTTCTGGTCTTACAGTCTGTGAAGAAAAACATCTACCTGCTGATGTTACAAAACCTAAGGGAAAGAAAGGCCTGCTGATTTTGTAAGAGTTTTAAAAGGGAAAGCTTTTCCAAAGGAGTCTGCTATAAAAAACAACTAAATGAAGAAGGCAGAAGGAAAAAAGGATGGGTTTGGGGGTTTCCCCTCCCCTAAGGTTACTTCATATTACTTTATAAATCTAAAATCATACTGGCTTACACATTAAGTTTTGAGGACTGCATTATTCACCAATTATAACTTGTGGGTATCTATCTTGCTTAGGAAAGAACACTCGGAAATGCAGACTGAAGCAAAGGTTAGCGAAAATATTCTAATTTATTCTTAAGTATATTCCCATTCTGTATCATAAAGGATAACATCTATGCATGTCCTAAGAACATCAACTACTCGGTATGTCTCTCTTCTGTTCATACAGGTGCTGGGAGTCAAGAATATTCCGTAAGCATTCAAATATGTAGCAGGTTACTGTCAGCCTCGGCATTAACATCTCACCTACAAACACACAACTGGTGGTGGTTATGTCAGAGCTTAGAGGGCAGCAGTTTCAAAATCAGCTTATGCTCAGTGAAGACTTTCCCTCCTGACACAAAGCCTCAGCCACTTTTGCTTCCTTTGCCTCACTGCTCAGCTGCCCAGAGGACAGACAATCTGACTGAAAATTAACCTTAAAACCAGTTCTCAGCTAAGTCATGGAGTTGTTTCCCAGCATCGTAATACGGAAGGGCATAGAAGAGAGAATCCACAGCCAGGGGAAAATTTGCTTTGCTGGGCAACATCCTGGTCTGATGTCAAAATAAGTCAACAATGAAGCTCTGCAAGACCTTTCAAACCAAGCTCTTATTTCCTTCCTTTTTTCTATTACTCTGACTGTTACACTGTCCTGAACTTCTGCTACAGACACAAGCAAAACCAGCAGGGCTCTAATACGTATCAATCCATCAGCATACTAAAAAAAGACAGCCAGAACATGCACAGAAGGAAATAGGACAGTTAAAAAGCAGCAGCATCATTTGGGTTTACAGCATCTAATGGACTGCAAGGTGAGAATCCTGTCCAGAGAAGCTGTAACGTAACACAAAGAATTGACTCCAGTGCAGTCACTAACCAATTTAACTAAACAAATCTGCCAACATAATTGAATCTAAGAATTATCTCGGAGCTAATCTGTGTGTGCCATCAATAAGCCTCTTAGCTGGACAACCATAAGCAGGAGGACTTTACAGCGTAACTTTTTGCACTGTAATCAATAGGCTCCAATAAAAAGAGAAAGTTCAAATAAAGGACAGTTTTAAACAAAGAGCATTAGAAGGGAACTCCTGAAATTTATTTAGGACACATCACATTATTCACTACAAAGTAAAATAAGAGCGCTCATAAATTCACACAGCTATCTCAGTCAAACCACAGAGCAAGCAGGAAGGCTTTGAATCAGACCCCAACTGGTAGCATGGAAAGCTCACGTTAACAGGAAGTTAATTCTCCAGAATTTTCTCTCTTCCATAGCACTGATCCCACAAGCAAATCCACAGAATTGAACCCCCCATACAAGTGCAGCATTCCAATCAGGCAATGGCATTGCCCACAAAGTTTTAATGACTCAAACATACCTTCACGGCAAAGGCATTGTAAATTACAAATCAACTGTACAGTCTGAGCGTTACAAAGCTTTGTACATTAAGTGAGCTACCTACAACTGGCATGCAATAGCTGTCATTTAGTGAGCAGAAAGTGTTTCTCTTACTATGTTTTTATGATGACCCTGAAAGCCACTTTGTGTGCATCCACTACTGGAATCTATTCCTTTTAACAGCCTTTACGCAACACATGAGTGGCAATCCTGTTCACAGCAGAAACAAGGAACAATGCGACCATCACACAGAAAGATGCCAGTATGCCTTTGGTCATTTTACACACAATTTAAGTGTATTTTTTCTTTAATCTTGATCTTGGTGGCATCACTAAGCTTCCTACAGAGACAGAACTGCCATGCAGATGTGGAAAAAAGGATTAGTTCAAAAGGAAAACAAAACCCTTTCTAATAGCCTACCTATCAACAATAGTTCTTTGACCAATAGGCTAAACCACAGTTCCTAATTCCGTATTCCACAGCTGTCAGGATTTCTCATATCATAGTGGTCTGTCTGCTCTTGCATTAATATGGAAGTATGGGCAATAAGTGGCACGTTGAATCAAGTGAGTTTTGTGAGAATTAAAATAGTGTTATTCAAAAAGTTACACTGATAAAGTACCCAGCCTAATACTGGGGGCTACCGGAGGAGGTGCCCGTTTCTGCAAACACCAGTCATTACTGGGCAGAGGGAAAAGGATCTGTTTCAGAGTTTCAAACAGAAAACACATCACTACCTGCAAACTCCACCAACCTTGACTTGAGCACCACTCACAACATACAACATCAGGACAACACAAAGCAAACTGTTCTACAAATGCTACTACTTGCAGGAGCACTAAACCACCCCAATTCTGGAAATCACAGAAAATTATCTGAAAGACTTTGGAAAGAAACAGATTTCAATCATATGGAATGCATACACTGCCTTCTCCCTTACTATCTCCCCCCTCCCAAGGACAGTTTTAAGCGGCATAGGAAATTGTTAAGAAGAAAAACACATACAGCTTTCAGAAGGGTGAAAGGTTTGGTGTTAACTTCTTGCCTTTCGATATTGTAGATGCCGCCTCTATAGCACTGACTGTGAGAATTCCTTCTACTGAGCTATTAGAAAAAATAGTATCTTGCATTCAGCTTACTGTCTGTCACAGCAGACGCAGTGGCAAGTTCCAGCACCTTTCCTTTTTGGCATTATACAGTGACAACAGTAAGAAAGTAGTGATCAAGGGCACATTTAAAACAAAAATATTTAACCTGCACTGATGTCTATAATATTAATCTTGTTCTTTTATCCTGAAATACACTGACTAGAATATTTCAAAACTCCAAAGAAAATCCTAAGAGGACATGGAAAGATTAAATTAATTCTACAATAGCAGCTGGTAATGTTACAGGAGATAGAACATGTGCAGCAGCAAGTTGCTCAGGTGTGAGCTGCAGCAGAGAGGAACAACAGGAGTTCCAAACAGTTCCAGGCAAATCTTTTCAATCTGATCTTGCTCTCTGCTACATGCAAGTTCACTTATTCCCACCAACTTCCAACTGCATTCCACAGACTGACAGAGCGCCAAGTTAACATCCATTAATATACATGGCAAAACTTGCAGGTCACATGCTGGTACTGCTCCATTAGTCAGGACTCTGGATTAAACCAGTCAGATGCTCAGAGGCTGCAGCAATAACTTCGTATTTCACTGAGATTTTACACACGCACATACCAAACATGGAACACCACGTATGTAAATTTATGTGCCTAATGACATTGATGCTTCCTCAGCATCTGGTGTGGAGAGATTACCCAGTGCTCTCTACAACAGGCACTAAATTCAGTTATGAACTGAATATGTTTGTTTGGTTAGAGGGTTTTTCTGCACTACATCCAGAGATGGTAGTTATTTCTACTATCACCCACCGTGCAGTTAAATGCACTAGCAAGTGGGAGTTCATTCATGCAACTGTTAGAAACTTTTGTTTAACTTCAATAGACATTTAAATTCTCTGCACACATACAGCCAGCTGATCTGCACTTCACTCACCAGCTCACATTAAACGCTGAAAACTCCTGTCTTCCATTCAGATTTTTACGCTTCTGGTTTTCCTCCCTTCTAATGATGCTCATTGAAAAACAGGCAAGTAACAGCTAGAATCATGTCTTAATACAATTTTCTTATGTGTCTCTAAAAGATTTCCTTATCTGTTTTCATCACATTGTTCTGGCTCAATTCAAGCCTCAGAGAAGGCACAGCTCTGCGAATATGGTTCCTGGGCTGGAACAGTAGCAGTGCAGGAGCAGTTTTACAGCAGTAAAACATGCACAAACAGCAAACTGGTCATTGTAAGGGTTGCTTAGTTTGGTTTTGTTTCAGCTCATTTTTTAGTTGCTGCTATCCTGATTGCAAAAACCATTCCACCCACAATTTAATCTCTGTGGACTAAAAGGTTCAAATAAGGTTAGAGATTGCAAGAGAGAGAGAAGCATCCACACAGGAGATGTTCTCCCTTGCTCAGGCTGCGGGAGACAAGAACCTTGGGCTCCCAGCCTTTAAGAGATACTTCCTCCCTAATTTTACCTGAAAATAAGCTTGTCTAAACATGAAGTCCAAAACTGTCAGCTGCAAACCAAAGCAGATGCCAAGATATCAAACTTGCTAAAAAGCATAATGAAATATTTTAGTCATTTTAAACAGAGGTATGTTACCAAAAGCTATCCATAATCCCCGACATTGAAGAAGCCAAGTTAGGGTTTGTATGTCCCTTCTCAATGGCTATGAAAACTACCTCTAACTGACAACAGCAGCAATTTACCTGTAAATAATTCAGAGGCCAAAATTTGTAAGCGGTTCTTGACCTTCGGCGACCAGTTACACCCAACCGCCTCTCTCCTTAAAGGGGGCGGAAGGGACAAAGGACCGCGGGCAGCAGAGATGCGGGGCGGGCCGCGGCTGTGAAGGTCGCTCCGCTGCCATAGGACCGCGGGGGCCCGAGAAGGAGTCGCTGCACCTTGCTCGGCGCTCCGTTTCGCAGGCCTCGCCACCGCAACGCCGCGGCTGCCAGCGGCCAGATCCCCGCCGTTCTCACCCTCTCCTTCACCTGAGGGAGCGGACGCAGAACCCCCGGCGCCGGGTGCTAGAGTGGGTCTCGCGTTCTCCAGTCTCCCCCTCCCGGGCCGCTGCCGAACCCGAAGCCCGCCAACCGGACATACTCACCCCGCTCCGGGCTCCCCAGTCACGCCCGCCGCCAACGGGGCACGGGGGGCGGCGGCGCCCCGGCGGGCCGGGGGAGCTTCGCTGCCGGCGGCGGCCACCTCCGGGCTGGTGGCTCCCTCACGGCTCTCCCTCGGCCCGCACCGAGCGGGCAGAGCGCAGGGGCTGCTGTGGCCGGCTGGCTGCTGCTTCCCTCTCCTCCTGCCGGCGCCTCATGTGCCCTCCTCCACGGCCTCCCCGCCGCTCCAGCTCCCAAACAGCGCCCGGGGCACGCTGCCAACCCCCTCCTGCCGGGCGGCAAAACACGTGGGACGGCCGGCGGCTGCTCTCCTCGGCTGGGCCGGGCCGAGCCGGTCGACGGGGCCTGCTCTCAAGGCGGGGCGGAGCGGGGGGGGGCAGACACACAGGGGGCCGCGGACACCGCCCGCCCCCGGCGGGGCAGCAGGAAGGGGAGCGCCGCTGGCGAGCACCGCGGCGTTCGCAGCGCTCCCCCCGCCCCCGGCGGCCATTACCTCATGGCCCAGCCCTGCTGCGGGGAGGGGCCGCGCGTCGCCCAGCAACCGGCCCCCTGCCGCGGCCGAGGTCCGCGCAGCCGTTCGTGTGCCGGAGAAGGGGCTGCGGCTCCTGCAAGCGTTCGGGTTGGTTGTGGCCACCTGGGCCCGGCTGTGAATGACAGGGCTGGTACAGCCGGCACGCTGCCACGGCGACCTGCTCGTGGAGTTCCCGCGGTGCAGGTGGGAGCGCTGCCTGCCTGAGCGGGGCAAAAGGGCTGGAACAAAACCCCGGCCGAGCACGCAGGCAGGCTGCAGGGACGCTGGTGGACAAAACTACCGACACGAGAATAGGGGAGAGGGTCCCGGTGAAATACAGACGTTCAAAATACGTGTTTCTTCGATCTGGTAGAAGAACGAAGGAGAGGAATCTTGCCTGTGCCCTTCTGAGGAGGAAAGTTGCAGTATGAATGCGAGATACATTAGACATAAAATCCGCTAAGGAAAAGATTTGTTATTTATGTCCCACTCACGGAGAAAAGCTTCAGTCTAGATTCTTAATAAATCTAATCATAAAGCAGCCACCCAAAAACAAAGAAACAAACGACCCACAGAGGAAACCATGACTTCTTGTTTCTTGTGGCTCACAGAACTATTTAGTGGAGGAGGGTTTGATTGTTGTTTACCGGCAAGGGAAGAATTGTGTCCAAGGTTAAAGCTGGTAAGAAAAAAGTGGCAGCCGCACTGGTGAGAAGCCTGGGATGTGTGCTGACCTCGAGCAGGTGCAAATGGATTCAGGGTTAGACTCTCAATAACCCATAAAAAGAAACGCTCCAGCCCTTCACAGATGCAAACAAAGAGAATCCCACTTGGGTGATGGAGAGGAGAAACGTTGCAAGAACAGAGGCTTGACAGGCACCACCAACAGGCGTGTCTTGAGGGCAGATCCCCTGGAAGTGAGTCAGGGTACAGTTGGATGGGGCATGGGAGTCAGCCTAAATCTTTGCTGCAGCCAAAGGAGCAGGCTGCTTCCCCAACTCCTGGCCTTCCCAGGGGCTGGCTCTGCTGCTTAGGATTCCTCAGTGGGTGACTCAGTAATACTGAGTGCTAACAGAACTAATTATATTCTTCCCTTTGTCAGTTTTCTGCCAGATTAGTAAACTGAATAGATTCACACTAAGATCATAAAAGTATCATAAAAGAGCACAAAGGAAACGTTTTTGTCTGGGAGGAACAGGACCATCCCTTTGGTAACCCTGCACTCTTAAATCATCTAACTCCTCCCTGAAGTAGAAACTTCATGTTCCTTTAGGCAGTCTAATGCCTAGGTTAAAAAGGTTGGTCCCTTCCACTTCTCACCCTCAGCTGAGTCCTCCCATTGCTTCCTGCTTTGTGCTGGGTCTTGTCTACACATGACCCAGTGAGCAAGCCAGATCTGGAGGTTTAAAAAAAGGTCTGGTTTCTGATTAATTCTTGAAACAGCTAACAGTGGAGTCAGACGAGTGACAGAGGTTGCTCAAGAGGGGGAACAAGACTCTGTAGTTGCAAATGAGGGATAGAGCCTTGCAGCAATAGCCAGGCACTTGTTACTGTGCATAACGTAAGCCCAAGACAGCAGTGAGGAGGAATGGTCTGCACAGGGAAGGGAAAGTTTTGAGGAAGAGTTTGGTCTGTGCTACATGAAATGTTATTGTGAAGCAAGGGAAAAAGCAGACAGGCTGCTAAGGGGATAATACTAATAAAAAATAAAAAGCCTTCAGTTGCACAAAAGCAAGAGAAAAACACAAAACAGAATCATCTTGGAACCAGAGCCCAGGAAGGAAATCAGTGCTGAGAAAAAAAACCCAGAAGGCAGAAATGATCTGAAGACAGAAGGAGACCCTAGAAGTAGAAAAGTGAAGATCCACACCAACAACAGAGAGAAGCAAGTCTGCCTGACTAGAGACTTGTTGAGAAGAGCCAACTGACCTGTCATGTCTGTAAGGAACAAGGATTTGAGATACACCTCTGAGGCCAGAAAGTCTTGTTAGAGCAAGGAGAAGCCCTTCACTGTGGGACAAATGGCAGTGACATGCCCCATTTATTCCCAAACAGTGTGCGGGAGTACATTAGGGAGAGAACTGGGGACTACAGGATTGCCAGCCTGTCCCCTGCAAGGTTATGTCTTTATGTTGCTCGTGGGATAGGTAGCTGTTGTTTGGTGGTTGCTGCACCAAATCCTCCTATGATTTGTTGTTGCACTGTGCTTAGTGCACATAAGCATGCTCCATTGCCACCTAGCAATTGGCATCTATTGGCAAATGACACAAGTACCCAGATAAGCTTCCTAGATTTCTCTGATCTTGTTTTCATTATTCTCTCAATTTCTGCTCTCTTCTTGATTATAACATATTTATCACATTCACTCCCAATTTTGCTTCGATTACATTTCTAGAAGAGACTTCTTATTTCCACCTTGCTAAAATAGAAGACTTCTCGAATATACTTTTCAGTGAGGATGCTGTTTTTTCCTGCATGTTATTCACTCTAGAACTTCTTTGATTTCTTTACAGGGACTATAAAATAATACAATATTGCCTTAAAAGCATTTAAAACAAGTTTCAGAAATCTGTGGTTAGTTTGCCAGCTGAAATCCCAATTGCAGCTACAGTTGCAGATGATTTGAACCTCAGAGCATAAGTTAATTCCAGTGGGCACAAACAAATGATCTGAAAAAATCAAACATACCTTTAAACCATACCCACAAATGTATTTCTGAATAGCTGTGTCATGGAGTTAAGAAGAAAGAAGTTGCAGTACTTCCTCTTCTTCTTGCTGGTACCTGCTGTGACTGGCCCCATTCTCGCACTTTTATATTCACATGGGCTAAGTAATGCTCTAAGCCCTTTAAAAGGGGTTATGAAGTATCTGCATAATGCTGCCTGCACGGCATGTTCTCTTGTTTAAACGGTGGCTCTTGTAAAGCTAGTGTTGCTTTAACTTGAATATCAATAAACGTAAATTCCTTTAAGTTATCTGACTGAGCATCTGAAACTTAAAAATGTGACATCTTTTGATGGAGTTTCTTCTGGTTTTGTGTTTTATTTGGGTTTTTTTTGTTGGTTTGTTTGTTTACAGCAAGGTATGCAATGCTACCTTTGCTGGAAGAATCAAATCAGCAGAAAAGCTTTTCTTGCTCAGTGCTCTATGCTTCCTTCAGCTAGCATCAGCCAGCACGAATGCTTTCTCCTTCAGGTGCTACTCTTCTGGAAATTTCTTTCCTGTAAACAGGGTGCATCTGTCAGGAGCAATACCAGCTTAGAGCGTTGGTTGGAAGTGTTATTGCAACTGTGACCCAAGGACAACAGGCACATGTAATCTGAAAAGAACAGAAGGAATGATAAGCTAAACCAATCAAGTGAAGGTTTATCGATAAACTAAAGCATAAACACAAGCAGAGGAGACAAATAAAATGAAGATAAAAAGGTCTTAAGGAAAAATATCATTAAAAAATGACCTCCCTCATGAATGTGTATGTATAGAGGATCATATATAATAATTATGGCAAAATAAAGCATTATTACACAGCTTAGAGTCTGAAAAAAAAACCCTGAAGAAAGGAAACAGTGACTGAGGATGGGGTTTTGCATATATTTGACATTAATGAAATGCAAGTTGGAATAGTTTGTAAAGCTCAGATTAGCATTAGAAGTGAAGACAAGTACACAAACAAACAGGAAATTAAATGCAAGATAGTGGGTTAATGATAAATGTGCCAGGCATGCATTTTGCAAGAAAAGGGGAATAAAAAGTGCAATCAAGCAAAGCCAAATGAAAATTACACTGTGGAATGATGATAATACCTTCAAGACATTGTGAGTTCTAATTAGGATGCCAAGGATATCCTGAATACACAAGCTGAATCTTCAGAATATACAAAATTAAAGTCATTGCTTTCTGCAGAAACAGTTAAGCTCTATATGTAATAATAGCGCATTTGACTCTTGTGTGAGGCCAAACTGCTGAATGTATTTGAAGAAAATGGGATGTTTTTCCAACATGTTATACCTAGAGAGTACAGCATCTGCTTTCCACACTATCTATTGCATCAGAGTAAGGAATAGGTCAAACGTTGAAATACACAGAAAAATACAGCATTACTAGTATTTCCACATCATCTCAGTCACAGTGGTAGTCACTACAAGAGCAAGATTTTGGCAAGGCCTGTTCAGCCTTCCTGCATCAGCAAGGCTGTCATCTCATCATACCTTAGAAGCCAGCAGGCAAGCTTACGTGTTAAGAATGCTGTTAGTAGTGAACCTTGCAGCAGCAGAATATCAGCTTTGCCAGCCGGGCAATCAGCATCAGAGCTGATGATACGCAGGAATGTGGTATGAGGAATGCCTGGCAGAAATTGTGGTAGTCTGTAACAATTAACCTCATCTCTTTAGCAGATAAAACTCAGCACAAGCAATAACAACAAAGAGGAAGTTGGTTTGACTTTGGTATCATATAAAGAGCAGTGGCTGACTTCCCAAGGAAACCCAGTGACTTTGGGAAGGTAAAGTAGCTTGTAATATACCAACCTTTAAAGGTATTAACTCGAGAGAGTACCACATCTCTTTCAAACCTTAGACATACGCAAAGCATTGAGACCATAATGGAGGAAGAGGCAACCCAGCATGCTGTACATGAAGTACTGGTGACCTTACAAGTTGAGCCAGTGAGGCAAGTTTTGGAGCCCTGTAAGAGAAACCACAAGTAATTTTTGCCTCACCAGTGAAACAAACACATTGGAAGGGACTGTTTTGCCATTTTAGCTGTTTCTGCAGCTAAAAGGTCAACTCGATGATTGATAAAACAAATTCCCAAAGAGAAGAATCCCAGGAACTAGCAAAGAATCTGAAAAATCATTGCTACTCTCAAGTATCAGCAGCACACGATACTTAAGTTGTAACATTTAAATTTATTTAACAACTTCAAGAGGGATCAGTGACTACAGCAGCCCTGTACCAAAGAAACAAGGTGACTAACTTACGAGAACCTTAATGTTACCACAGAAATGCAGAAATAAAGAGAAACAGGCAAAGTTTCACTCAAACAATGAAAGTATGTGCTAGTTTTAAGAGGATGTTGGAAAAGAATCTGGGGTTAAAAACCACAAGATAAAGATGTGCTTATGTCCATTGTTCTGCTGAAAGATCAGAGAAGTGGCCCTGTGTGTTTCCCAGGAATGGCAGAACTATCAAGGTGGATGAAACATCCAAATATGATAGATGAGCAACTGAATCATCATACCCAGAACGCTGAGAATAGAAACTCTCTTGAGAATGGGGTCAGTCTGGAATAGAAAGAAACACCATGTACTAGCAAGATGGGGTAGAGCATGAGTAATCATGATAGCTGGGAGAAAAATCAGTGCATCTGGCAAAATAAAACACAAGTATATAGCATCTTCTACAGACATTAGAGCAAGCTACAAGATCTTAGTAAAGGAAAACAAAACATGGAAACATACCTTAAAACTATAGGCGACTCATCAGGCTTTTGGGAATCAGGCAAAATGTCAGAGGCTTCTGTAGTACCCATTGAGGGTAGAGCCCCGAAGTGTTTAAACATTCCTGAACTATGTGGTTACAATCACAAGATCTCAGTTTACCTTAAATTAGATCATATACTTATTTGAGAACAAGAATTTGATTGCATCTGACTGTCTCATATAATAGCCAGGCAAATAGCAAGGCTGAGTTTGCTGTACAGATTGCTGAGAGGATTGAAATGCTGCAAACAGCACAGAGAATATTTTGCATTCCTTTCTTGAATGTTGAAAATATTCCCACAGAAAAGTTCACTGCAGTTGAGTACAATGCTTGAAGTCATGTTCAGTAACAGACTAAAGGAGTAACAGGCTAAACAAGGAAAAAAAACCAAACACTAAAGACAAGAGTCCTGTAATTGCAGCCCTGATCTGCATTTGTATTTAGAGTATTTCTTCATGGTACCTCTTGCACTGGAAGCAAGTAAAATGTTTGAAGAGAGAATTCCTGTTTCTTACACCAAATCAGAGGGAAAATTCCCATCTGGAGTATACTGAAATTGTCTGTATCTTTCTTATCATCTGGATGTACATGTAATGAAGTGTGTATCAACAACAACAACAAAGCAACACAGTTCCAAACTAAGAGGTATTGGAAAAAAAGAGGGGTGTATGTCAACGTGTCCCCTGTATCTGCCTTTAATTACACCAAAAATTCTTCATCATGGAGACATTTAATTTAAAAAGCTATGAAACTCTGGTTTGTTTGTTATTAAAGCATTGTTTTGTGATTCTCTCTGTGTACTTTGCAATGTTATTGCCACTCTTATATGAAGATTTCAACAGATTTTGTTAAAGTCTCACTCCCCCAGAATGGGATACTTACCCCCTTGGCATAAAATCAATCTCTAACCTAGACTAACATAACAGAAATCTGTACATAGGACAAAACACTAGAAATCTGGAAGCAAAGGCAATAACTTGATAGTTACTATGGCTTAGTTTGGACAAGGACAATGAAATTAAGTGACTTTTTTAAGATCTGCCATCAAACTGCTGTCAGGAGCTAGTATTCTACTCTTTCTTCTTTATATCAGTCACCCTTATCAGAGCCAAAGGTAAAATACAGATTTCTAAAATCTAAATAAAGCCCTCTTCAAAGCATACTTTTCTTGTGCTTACTAAGAGAAACTAGGTGATGTCTGCTTACGCATTTGGTTTATTTCTATCCAGTCAACTACTCATTTACATAAAAAAAAAAAAATGGAAAAAATACTTTGCTTGTTTAGCTTCAAAGCTGCAGCTTCATTGGGAATTACAGATCAAGTCTGCAACGGCTGAGAAATTATGCTGCAGAATGGGATAGGATCTGAAATTGTTAAGAAGTGAGCATTTTGCCACGCATATGTATGGCACGATATGTTTTGATGTTAGGACTCCAGTCAATTCTATGTGGATATTCAATAAACCAGCTGCAGTACTAACCTCTTACCAGTCTTGTAGACTCTCTACCAAACCCCTCAACAGCTGAACTGTGACAGAACTCTTGGCAAGCTGCGTAATTCATGAAGCTTCATTTCCTCCAGGTCTGTGCTTTGTGTCTATAGCCTCTGCTGTCTGAGGTGGTATTAAACAAAGCTGAAGCACTTTTTTGCAGATAAAACCTTTCTAATATCCCTCTCCCAAGCAGGGTGGGTTGGATTGGTTTTGGGTTTGTTACAGAATTAGGGAGGTTTCAGCTCATACTGAAATTTTCCCTACAGTGGGGGTAAAAAATCCAACCATCTGTTATCATATAGAATATAGAAACGTTGACTCCTTCCTGCTAAGTATACTACTAATTTTATAAAATCTGGTTGAAGTAGATCAACGGGTTCAAAACCGTTTAGGAAATCAAGTTGAAAATGGGATAATGGACAAAACAGAATCCCAGGCTGGTTTGTGTTGGAAGGGACCTTAAAGCTCACCCAGTTCCAACCCCCTGCCATGGGAAGGTACATCTTCCACTAGAGCAGGTTGCTCCAAGCCCTGTCCAACTGCAGCTTGAACACTGCCAGGAATGGGGCAGCCACAGCTTCTCTGGGCACCCTGTGCCTGGAACGTTATTCAACTTGTCCTGGAAAGACAGACCAAATGTGAAATGTTTTATCATGCAATGAGGAAAAGATGCTGACTTGAATCTTTCAAGGGCCTTGCAAACCCAAAAGCAGACAAGCACAAACCCCAAACCCAGCCGTCCCTAGGATGAAGAATGAAGTGAAAACACCACTTTACAGTTAAAAACGGAAAGCGCTCGTTCCAAGGGCTCAATGTTGTCACCACGAAGTATCCCCCAATTAGGCTTTTACAACCCGCTGTAACAGGACTGACAACGCTACCTGCTGTGTTGTCCGATGCTCGGCCCATGGCGGTTTAACAGCAAAGCCCCACAACCAAGAGGGCAAGGTCTGGGATTCCCGCTCCTCCTGAGGGGCTTCCCCTCACCGCGGGCTGAAGTACGGCTCAGCCCGCCCGCCCGTCAGCCCCGCGCTGGCGGTTGCCCGGCAACCGGACGGATGCGCCCCCTCCCGTCTCGACTGCGACCCACAACATCCGGGAACTCCCGTCTGGCCCCGGCCCTGCTCTGGTATCAGCCCCTTCCAGCCCAATGGCGGCTCCGCTCTGTTTCCGGCGTCCGGCCCCGTCTCCTGGATACAGGTGCGAGGTGGCGACCATCCGAGCGGTGCGCGGGGGGGGAGGCAGGACAGACCCATGGGCACCTGGCTCTGTGTTCTCGCTAGAATAAAAGCAAACCCCACAACATCCCCTGGGCTCACTGTGACTGTTGTACCGCTGCTCCTCCGGCTCGCTGTATTTTGTGGTGTGCGCGGACCAGCTTCCCGCCGGAACGCCTCCTCCTTCCCCTTGTGTCATGGAACGCTCCAGTCGTGCGGCGATTTCGGTTGATGGCGGCGGTAACGGCGGTAGTGCTGTTGCCTGGTCCATCCGCTGCCCCGCAGGTACGGCTGTCGCTTCCTATCCGCCACCCGTCACCTCCCGTCCTGCGGGCGGGTAGCGGCCCTCAGAGAGCGCGAGCCTAACGGCCGGCGGCGCGCGGAGCCACCCTCCCGCGCCTCCCTTCGTCCCCCCGCTCCCGCCCTAGCCCCGCACCCGCGGCCATGTCACGAAGCCATGGGATGGGTTGGGTTGGAAGGGACCTGGGATTGGATCGGAAAGTCCAGTTCCGACTCCCTAGTTCCAGTCCCGGGGGCTGCAGTGCAGCTTTGACTACAGGAGGTCTCGGGTCCTCTCATGAGGAGAGGAAACAATGTGTTGGCGCCCAGAGCGAATGCAGTTACCTCAGTCTGTTGCTTTGGGTGCTTCTGTGAAGCTTCAGAGCCGGTTCCTTACAGGCGGTGGTGTGGCCGGCTTCCACAGCAGCTAGCTCCTCTCGAGATGGTTCTTTGCACTTTTTGCGTCGCTTTGTTCAATCTCTTCATACTTTATGTCAAAACTAACGAATCCTAGATGTTGAAAGTCTGTCTCGCATGCCACGCTCCGTTAGTTTGTGTACTGAAATGGCGACATAGCCGTTATGAGATTTAGGGTTGTAAGACAAGGTGCTTTTCTTGCTAACCTGCATGTGAAAGCACTCCCAGTCATGAGGTAGCAATGAAGATTTCCTTTTCCTATGACTGCTCTGTCCCGGTGTGGGTTTGTATGTTATTGGTCTTGCTTCTGTCAGATAACCAGGTATTTCTGTACTTGTCACTGAGCCTGGCATGCATTTGTATGGTTTGGTTCATGGTTTGGATGATTATGTTTTACGGATGGTTCATGGTTTGGATGATTATGTTTTGGTTTGGTTCATGGTTTGGATGATTATGTTTTACGGATGTCCAGTATGAGGCATCTTTAATACATCTGATGCGTATATATGCTTCAGTCGTGTGACAGGGTGCGCATATCAGGTTCGAAGTATTCTTGAGAAAGAAGAGGTGCAAGGCAGGGGATGTGGACAGGTACTTTGGGGGGTGGGCTGTAGTTTCGCCATTTCTTTTGCTGGATGCATTTCTATGGCAATGATGTTCTGGAAGCTTTGTATATTAGGGGAAGACATTGAGAGGATTTTTTTATTTGGTTGTGGTTTTTTTTTTAAGATGAAAGAACATAAGGAATGGTGTGAATCAGGAAAGAGAAGTGGAGAAATGGACACCCCGATCTGTTCTGAAGCTTTATCTTTGTGCCTTATTTTGGGGTGTCTGGCACACTGATTGCTATATAATCACCTTGTTCTCATAGATAACTCTAGGAAAAAAAGCCTTCCTATCCTGTCTTATACTGGCTGTACCTAGCTGTTTGCTTAGTGCTAGATAAACCAATTTACAGTATTAATCTGAAAGCTTTTGAATTGCAGTGGTGGGATTCTTTCTTCTTTTGAGAAGAAAACTTCTGTCTGGGGTAACTCTCTTTGATAAAGGAAATCCTAGAGTCATGAGGCTGCTATGTCTGTTGTGAATTCTGGATCACCTGGGTTGTACTGGGCACCTGATGATGTTCTGGCAAGAAACATTATTTTAGTGACGGGCATTTCGTTGTCTGGTGCTGCATAATGCTGTGTTGTATTTTTGAAGTCTTGACTGAAAACCTGGGCGTTCCCTGGTCTTCCTTTTGTCACTCTGGGAGCTCTGTGTCTCTTGAAAGAGTTAAAGTGAAATTGAGTTTGTGATTTGTGATTAGGCATCTGCAGCTGTTCTACTTAAGCCTTTCCATCTTTACTGGCAATTCCTGTTGTTGTAGTTCTTTCTCCAATATGCTGCTTTTCTGTGTTTTAGGATAATGCATTGAGAACCGGTCTTGTTGGTCAAAAAGCAGTTTTATAAACAAAATGGAGTAAATCATGCAGAGATGAGAAAGAACAACTTCTTGGCTTGGAGATAATTAAATTGGTAGTTGGAAGAACTAGGCAAGAATGTGAAGGTGTCCTGGAGCTGGAAGAACTTACTACAAGGTGATTACTGAGGAGTAGCTATCAATATATCCTGCTTCTGAATGTGCTGGTATTGGGATTTTCTGTGTCTCTGGTTTTAACTCAGTAGCACAGCTGAGGAGGAGGATGGAAAGCAGAACTCTTACTTCATGTATTATAGATGCTTCACTGTTTTGCTGTCAGTTCTCCGCTTGCTCTGAGATTTTTAGAGAAAATAGTTATGGAACAAAAGAATTAACTAGCCTCTTATGAGAAGCATCTAACTATTTAAATATAGAAGTGTCACCTGCTAGGTTTGCAACAAATGACGAATATTTCATTTGTTTAAGTATGTAAATTAAAAGCATTCTTAAGACAAAAATGATAGTTCGGAACATTAATATTCAAAAATCCTGTGGTTTTCAGTTGCTTTGATTAAACTGGTATTTGGCAAATTTAAATTACATTGTGAAAAGTCGCAGGGGCACATTGCCATTTCTGCCCAATGGCTCTTCAGGCAAATCTTATTTTGCACTTGAGAACTGGGAGGGTAAATACTGTACACCAGTGACTATTAAGTTAGAATGATTTCCCCTTCTCCTTCTTTGTTTAAAAGTTTATTTGTTTATGAGACTAATACCATGTTTCCAATCCATTGCCTGTATAGCATCCTCAAGTATGGAGAACTTCGTTCTGTATGAGGAGATCGGAAGAGGAAATAAGACAGTTGTCTATAAAGGAAGAAGAAAGGGAACAATTAATTTTGTTGCCATTCTTTGCACTGATAAATGCAAAAGAGCTGAAATAACAAACTGGGTGAGTAGTGTTTGCTTTTTTGGCGGGTTGTTTTGATTTTTTTTTTTTTTTTCCCTGCTAAATCTGGGAAAAGAAACAGCTTACAGAACCCTGTAGAACAGGTAATAGAAAAATACCATGTGCTTCTTGTCACCGTTTAGGTCAGCTTCTTAAGATTTTAAATTCTTATACTTTAGATATAGTCTCATTTTTATGTTTTTATTTCTTCATCTGTTTTTACTGTTGCTTAAATCATATGCATAAACCCATGTTTACAGGCAGAGAACTTTTAAAAACAGTTACTTGCATGTAGTAGTTTGCTTTATTTTGCTATTAGTTGTGCAAATTCAGTGGTAGTAATACTTGCCAGTGAATAATCAATCTCTTAATTACCAAGAAGAAAGTATTTTTGATGAAACAATAGCGTTTAAGGTAAATTAATTCTGTTTTGTGAGATCTTGGCAACATTTTAAACATACACATTCTGGAAAAGAAACTGTAACTGATATAGTTAGACATGTAAATATTTTTCCAGTAGATACATTTTGTTTCTGCATTGGGTTGACTATGGCTGGACACCAGGTGCCCATCAAAGCCAATCTGTCACACCCACACCCCTCCTCAGCTGTACAGGGGAGAGAAAATATAACAAAAGGCTTGCGGATCAAGATAAGGACAGGGAGAGATCACTCACCAATTCATCTGATTCATCAACATTCATCCAGTTACTGTGATGGGCAAAACAGACTCAGCTTGAGGAAATTAGATTATTGCCTATCAAATGAGAGTAGGATAATGAGAAATAAAACCAAATCTTAACCCACCTTCTCCTCGCTTTTCTCTTCTTCGCAGACTTCACTCCTGACTTCTGTGCCTCCCCCCACTGTGGCACAGAGGGACAGGGAATGAGGGTTGCAGTCAGTTCGTCATACATTGTCTCTGCTGCTCCTTCTTCCTCGCATTCTTCCCCTGCTCTGGTGTGGGGTCCTCTTAGAAAGCTGTTGGGGATACCTTACAACTCTAATAAGTTACACAGGCCTCTGTAGAGATTAGGCTATGTAGTTTTAATAGAAACATAGATTTCTAGGGACCTTTCAATGATTGCTCTTGCCTGATAAGCTTAAGAAAGATGAAAAAAATGTCTTTTTACTTCCTCATATTGTGCTCACCATGCTGTCTCACACTTGTGTTCTCACTGCAAAAGAAACTAGGAATGCAAACTTAACTCCAAATTCTGATTTTCAGCTTGTTATTGTTTTAATGATGCAGGAAGGTTAAACAGTGCTTATAATTTTGGGTTGGGGAACTTTTTTTCCTATTCTCCAGTTATGTATTTTAAAAACTTTGTTCTAGGTTCGTCTGACTCATAAAATCAGACACAGAAATATAGTGAGATTTTATGAATGGTATGAAACGAGCAACCATCTCTGGCTCGTAGTGGAATTATGCACAGGTAAGATAAGTTCAGAAGGTAAAAATTTATAGAGTAAGTGTTTGTAAGAGACTTCTCAACAGTTTCTTCACAACAAATACTTAGATCCTTGAAAAAAACTTAGTAATTATCTGATTATAAACTTGAGAATCCTATTTATGGATGAAAGTCTTTTTGCTTTTGGAAATATTTTTAGAAATTAGTTGAAATAATGTTTCTCCTCTGCTTCACTATATATGTATGTTAACTGTTAAGT